CCTCTTTCTCAATCCTGTGGGGCATGCCCTGCTCTGGGTACTGGTGTGTAAACCTCCCTAAGAGGAGAGGTTTGTGTTTTGTTTGGTTTGAAGTGCCAGGACGGTAAGCGCCTGACCTACGTATCAACTACACCCCCTGTGTATATATATGTGCATGCCTGAGTGTGCCAAGGTGCACATTCTGAAGACAAAAGCCAACTTTGCAGAGTTGTTTACCCACCCCCACCCCTTTTTTGGTTTTTCAAGATAGGGTTTCTCTGTGTAGCCCTAGCAGTCCTGGAACTCATTCTATAGACCACCTGCCTCTACCTCTCGAGTGCTGGGATGAAAGGCGTGTGCCACCGCCGCTCGCCTCTCCTTCCACTTTTATGTGGGTTTCAGGAGTGGAACTCAGGTCACCAAGCTTGTGCTTCAAATGCTTTTATCCACTAAGCCTTCTTACCAGAAGATAATTTTTCTAGATGACCATTGTCCAGGGCTGCATATAGCAAGTTCTTTATTTAAATGGAGCATGCCTGTCTGACCCCTGTGTCTGAAATATTTCTAATCAAGAGACTTTTTTTTTTTTTTTGAGACAGGTTTCAGCTTTGGAGGCTGTCCTGGAACTAGCTCTTGTAGACCAGGCTGGTCTCAAACTCAGAGATCTGCCTGCCTCTGTCTCCCAAGTGCTGGGATTAAAGGTGTGTACCATCATCGCCCTGCTAATCAAGAGACTTTTATATTCTGCTTGTTTGGTAGCATCTGGAGATGTGCAGGACCTGGCCATTTGCTGCAAGAAGTCTTGGATTGTTGTAGCTGCCAGATTGAGATGAAGGTGCACAGAGACTGAATAGCAGGTGGTCCAGGCAGCTGTCCCTCAGAGTCTGTCCCCAACAGTGTCTTTGAAACCCTAGCTTGGGCCACTACTCTCTTGTTCCTGTGACCACCAGCCTGGACTCAGTCTTGCTGCCTTAGCCATCATATTGATCTTGCAAATTACACCCAAACTGCCTGCTAGCCTGTCTATACCTTACCACCTGGTCCCCTAGGTCCCTGGCACCCCTCCTTTCCTTCAGGTCCTCCCCCATAGGCTGGTGTCAGCCTGGGGCACTAGAATCCAGAGTGTCTTCTTCGTCTCAGGTTCCCTTTCTGTTAGGGAGCCAGGTTAAATCACCTTCTGGGAGTCATGGGTTCTGGTAAGGATGCAGACTCAATGAGTGAGCCAGGAAACCCTTCACAGGCAGGATAGTGGTGTCCTGTGGCTGACCCAAAGCCTAGCCCTCCGGTCTTTTTGTTTGTTTGTTTTTCAGCACAGGGTTTCTCTGTGTAGCCCTGGCTGTCCTGGAGCTCACTCTGTAGATCAGGCAGGCTTCGAACTCAGAGATCTGGGGTTAAAGGTGTGTGCTACCACCATCTAGCTTCCTTTAGTATTTTCCTGTTGTGGGGCACCGCCTAGTGTCCATCAGACCATACTCTTATTCTCCCTTTCCCTGCCCTCTGTTGCTGTTTTTTTCCTCTGGTGAAAACAACTGGTAAAAGAAATCATATAAAACCCTTCATCCCAGTACTCGGGTGGCAGAGACAGGCAGGTCTCTTGGAGTTCAAGGTCAGTCTGGTCTGTGTAGGGAGTTCTGGGCCAGTCAGGGCTAGAGTGAGACCTTCAGAAGGAAGGAAGGAGAAAGAAAGAAGTCACATAACATGGGACCTTTAGTGTCCAGATTGAGTTTTGTTTTTTGGTACCAGAGATAAAACCCAGGACCTCAGGCTGGGTGGTGGTGGCACACTCCTTTAATCTCAGCACTCAGGAGGCAGAGGCAGGTAGATCTCTGTGAGTTCAAGTCCAGCCTGGTCTACAGAGTGAATTCCAGGGCAGTCAGGGCTACGCAGAGAAACCCAGTCTCAAAAACAAAACAAAACAAAAACAAAAAAATCCAGGACCTCATGCATGCTAAGCATGAAAGCATGTACCTGTTGCTGCACTCCACCCAAGTCCTGTGTCTGGTTTCACTGCTTATTTCAGTACTTTTTTCCTTTGTATGGCTGAATCAGAACCCACCCTGTGAAGGGCTGTGGTTTCTGTTTTCATTCTTCCATCAATGTACATTTAGGTTGTAATCTTCCTTCCATGTCATGAACCAGTGGTCTCAAGCTTGTTCTTTCTTTTCTCAGAAAAACCCTGCATAAACCCTTTGAGTGCAGCTTTGTCTGTCTTCTGTATATGGCTGTGGTCTGCACCCTTTCATATCTGGAGATTCTTGTTAAGAAATTAAAACATTGCACAGTGCACTGAGGCCTCGAGAGTGTCACGAGGCAACAGCTGAATGGGACCACTGTTGTAGGATGGTATAAACATGCAAGAAGACAGGACAAGAAAACAGTGTGAACGGACCTTGGCTCTTCTCCTGTTCCACATCATCTCTGCTTTACTACCTGTCCTGGGTGTCTGGTGTGGCAAAGAGCATGCCTGGCTCATACTGAAGGGTAGTTCTTTATATAAAAATGAAAAGTAGGGGCTGAGGAGATGGCTCATCAGTTAAGAGAACTGGCTGTTCTTCCAGAGGCCAAGGGTTAGACTCTCAGTATCCACATGGAGGCTTACAACCATCTGTGACTTCAATCCCAGGGGGAATCGGACACCCTCTTGTGGCCTCCACAAGCATTGCTCATGTAGTGCACAAGACAAAATATCAATGCATGTAAAATTCTTTTTTTTTTTTTTTTTTTTTTTTGAAATAGGGTTTCTCGTGTAACAGCCCTAGCTGTCCTGGAACTAGCTCTGTAGACCAGGCTGGCCTTGAACTCACAGAGATCCGCCTGCCTCTGCCTCCAAAGTCCTGGGATTAAAGGCATGTACCCCCAACGCCTGGCTATAAAATATATTTTTAAATAAATGGAAAGTAGAGGCTGAGGAGATGATTCATTTGGTAAGTTCTTGCTATGTAGGCATGAGGACCTGAGTTCAATACCTATTATTCATCTAAAGGCTGGGCTCAGTGTCATGAGCCTGTCATAGCAGTGCTGGGCAGGCAGAGACCAGACAACTCAGGCTCATTGGCTACAGTCCAGCTAGATCAGTGAGCTCCAAGTGTAGTGAGCTTGTGTTTCTAAAAGTAAGGTGGAGAGTAGTAGAAGAAGACCCCAGACATTGACTTCTAGCCTCAGCGTACAGGTGTGCGTACACACACAGACGCAAAGCAGCAATCCCTCCAGCTTCTGCCTCCTGCTCACCTCAGGCCACACTTGGGTGCAAGCCTTTTGAGATCTGAGCTTCTCACATCCACTTATGGTTTTCCTGGACGAAGAGCAGCTCAAGGAGGAAGCATGGATGTTTGGAGCCCATTCCTGTCACTTACCTGCTGTGCAACTTCAGGACATTCCTTAATACCAGCACCTTTAATAGCCTCATCTACAAATTGCTGATGACACTGGTATATTAGTTAGCCATTGCCACAAAATAAATTGCCCTCAAACTTATGACCTAAAACAGCAGGCACAGGTTATCTCAGTTTCTGTGGGTCAGGGATCTGCTAAGGTGGGTGCCATTGCCTCCAGGTCTCTCCCAGGCTAAAGCCATGGTGTCAGCTAGGGCAGCGGTCTCATGTGGTGGCTTTACTGTGGATACGTCTGTTTCAAGTTCACCAGCATGATACTGTGGGTTTCCGCCCATCTCCACTCCCAATGGCTGCTGATGGAGGGCGTCAACTACCTTCAAGCTAGAGATTTTCCTCTGCTCCTTGTCACAGCAGTTGTCTTCCAGTAGAACAGGCAGGGGCAGGAGGCCAAGAATGAGCCAAGTGGGAGCCAGAAGCAATAACTTATCACTTAAGTTATCCTTTCATAATTTCATACTTATATAATGTGCTGTGACCATATTTTTCCCAGTGATTCTTTCATCTCCCTTCTGCCAAACCCACTCTTCCCTTCATGACTTTGAGTGTTCCTGCTTTATTTATGTGTGGGCATTTGTGTCTGTGTATGCTATGTGAGTGCAGTGCCCACAGAAGCCAGAAGAGGGCGTCAGATCCCCTGGAGATGGAGTTACAGATGGTTATGAGTCACCCAAAATGGGTACTGGAAACTGAACCTGGGTCATCTAGAAGAGTAGCAAGTGCTCTTACTGCCAAGCCATCTCTCCAGCCCTGTGTTTCTGCATTAAGATTGCTTGCATGAGCACAGTAGGGGCTTACTTACTTGGCAAGGGCGGTTCAGTTCTACACCATGAGGGAGATGGCTGCCCTTCCCCTAGCAATCACTAGCCACCTGTAGCTCCTCAGAGCAGTGTGGGGCCTCATGAACCCAGACTTTTTGGGCGAGCAGTTCAAGACAGAGTTTCTCTGTGTAGCCCTGGCTTCCCTCTTACTTGCTCTGTAGACCAGGCTGGCCTCAAACTCAGAGATCCACCTGCGAGTGCCTCCTGAGTGTTGGGTTTAAAGGTGTGCACCACCACTACCTGGCTCCCCCCCCCACACACACACACGCTTTTTAACCACATTTTGTCGGTTAGAAGCAGATCACTAGGGTCACTATGGCCTGAGCTAACCGCGAATCCACCTGAAGTGGTCAGGATTTGCTAAGATTGTAAGTGAGGTGACTCGTGGGGTGCACTGGCAGCATTGCTGCCACTGTGAGTGTTTCTTTTGTCACTCCATTCACCTGGGGTAGGACCAGGATGAGGCCTGAGACATCAGACCAGAGCAGCCCTAGGCAGTCAGAGAGGAATACAACGCAGGGCTGGGCAGGTGCTAGGAACTGTAGAAGTTGACCTGGAGGACCCAAGTTCCCCACTCTGGGGTCCCAGCCAGCCCTGTGGAACCTTGGTGTCAGGTGGTGGGCGGGGCTACGTGTGTAGTCAGAGGCTCTTAAGCCTCTGATTGTGCCTGTGCTGTGTGACCTCAAGCAAGTTGCCCTCCTTCTCTGGGCCTCCAACTTAATAACTTCCTGCCTTGTGTTCACAGTGAATCAAGCTGTAACTGACAGGGTGGGGGAGCCTGGATGTGCTCACACCTGTTCCTCCCCTGCAGGTTTTCTCCATTGTGGTCTTTGGCTCCATCGTGAATGAGGGCTACCTCAACAACTCAGACAAGGAGGAGGAGTTCTGCATCTACAACCGAAACCCCAATGCCTGCAGCTATGGCGTGACTGTGGGGGTGCTGGCCTTCCTCACTTGCCTGCTCTACCTGGCGCTGGATGTGTACTTCCCACAGATCAGCAGTGTCAAGGATCGTAAGAAGGCTGTGCTGTCAGACATCGGTGTCTCTGGTGAGCCTGTACGGGTGGTACCCCTTAACAGCATGAGGAGAGCTCTCTTCCATGTCCTCTGAAGTGTAGGTAGTAAAACGACAGACTAGGGGCTGTGCCTGATGATGGGGAGGACTCAAGTCAGCTCTGGTCTCAGTGTCCTTCTGCACCCCTGCCTGGGGATCCTGGAGCCCTCCTTCCCTTGTTGCTGGGCAGGACTACCTCCCTTTGCTAGTCTCTCACCTTGGGAGTCCCAGAATCAGCCTGGTAGGGACTTTGGGCATGATTAGGACTGTGGACCCTGTTTCCAAATGGCTAAATAGGGACATTTTGACCGTCCAGAAAGACTAGGACTAGTCTTTCCTAGTTTCCATGGAGTTCCCAGAATTCCTCTAGGGACAGGCTGGTACATGCCTGGCTCAATCCTGGACAGCTCTGGGGAGACCCTGGGTACCCACAGACCTCAGCTTCAGAGGGGCTCCATTTGGGGAGCCTCTGGACATTACACACTTGTGGGAAGTGGAGGTCCAGGCCTTAGCCTGTAAAGCCACTTTGACCTTGTCCCAGTTTCCCCCTCTCCTCCAGTTCTCTTTCTAGAGAGAACAGGGCCGCTGCATCCTGCTCCTTGCACTAGCATCTGACCTTCCAGACCAAGCCAGGGGGTGGCAGGCATTAGGTGGCTACCCACCCCCTCCCCAACGTCCTCCCACTCCGTGGCTGGTCTTGTGCTCCTGGCCCTCTGTGTCTACTTGCCACTGACCTGCCCTCTCTGTGGTCTCCCCCAACCCCAACTGTCATTCCCAGCCCTCGTCTTCTCCTGGCTCCTCTCTGCTCCACCTCTTTACTCATCATTTGGAGGTTGGAGAGCATGGGAGCATGCTCTTAAACCTTCCCTCTATTCCTTTGTGCCCTGTTTTCTCCCCTTTTCTGCATGTCACTAACATCTCGCCTGGCCCTGGGCACCCCAAGGCTTCTGGGCCTTCTTCTGGTTCGTGGGTTTCTGCTTCCTGGCCAACCAGTGGCAAGTCTCCAAGCCCCAGGACAACCCTCTGAATGAAGGGACGGACGCAGCCCGGGCCGCCATTGCCTTCTCTTTCTTCTCCATTTTCACATGGGTGAGTATGGTGCCTGTAGAGCCCCCACTTGCTACACCCCAGGCTATGGCCTCTTGAGTAGCTAGGCTGAGCTCTGCTTCCCGGAAGGAACCCTGTTCCGGCACCACCCTCAGCCTCCCTTAGCAAGGCAAACCCTTGCCTTGATGTGGGACAGCTTTTACAATATAGCCCACACTGGTGTTAAACTCCAAGACCCTCCTGCCTTAGTATCTGAACATTTGCCCTGCCTTTGCTTTTAGTCTCTGAACATAGGCCCTGCCTTTGCTTTTGGTCTCTGAACATAGGCCCTGCCTTTGCTTTTAGTCTCTGAACATAGGCCCTGCCTTTGCTGCTTCATTTGTTTTCTTTTCACATACTGAATCTTCACTCACGGGGGCTCCCCACTTCAGGAGAAAGGCTCCTATTGGCTTAGCTTTCCAAAAAGAGAAACTGAGGCTCAGGCACTTAGCAGTGTGTTTATTTATTTTTGTCTTTTTTTGTTTTGTTTTGTTTTGTTTTGTTTTGTTTTAGAAAGGATTTCTCTGTATAGTCTTTGCTGTTCTGGAATTTGCTCCACCACACCCAGCCTAAAATAAAAATTCCTTTAAAAAGACAAAAAAAATGCCGGGCGGTGGTGGCTCACACCTTTAATCCCAGCACTCAGGAGGCAGAGGCAGGTGGGTCTCTATGAGTTCAAAGGTAGCCTGGTCTACAGAGTGAGTTCCAGGACACCCAGAGCTATTACACAGAGAAACTGTCTCCAAATATAAAAATCTTACATATGGAGGAAATCATATCTAGGGGTTCAACATTCTGGAGCCTGATCTTTGCAGGGCTAGTTCAGGGTTTCAAGGGCTCCACCTGAAAGGTTGGCCCCTCTTCGAGGAGGTCTAGGTCATGTCTGTTCCTCCTTTCCTGCTCTCCGTTGGGTCTCAGCAGCCGCCTCTTCCAAGGCCCCTCCCTTCTCCCACAGCACACTCTTCAAGACCCCACGGATTGTGCACAGTCAACTTTCCCTGTCCCCGCTGTCCCTGAAGTGACTCCTTTTTCTTTCTAAGGACCCCAACACCCATCTTCTGGGGCACTCATCAGCCCCAGTATTGGGACCTAGAGTTTTGTGGTTCCCGGAGGCCAGGCATGGTAACCATAGCTCTCTAATGCCTTCAGGACTGGGCAGGAAGATCAAGGTGAACCCAGGGGATCTCATTTGAGAAGAAGATACCCCTGAGAACCTCTGGCTGAGATGGGTGGAGCTGAGAGAAACATAGTGATTGGACTGAAGGGAAACACCTGATAGAATGGTGCTGCTGGCCACAGCTGGCCTTCCTGAAGCAGCTCTGCCCTTCCACCTCCTCAGTGGCCTTACCCCTGCTCTCTCCGGCAGAGCCTGACTGCAGCCTTGGCCGTCCGCAGACTCAAGGACCTTACCTTCCAGGAGGAATACAACACACTGTTCCCCGCCTCAGCACAGCCATAGCCCCTGAAGGGCAGGGAACCCATGCCCCAGCAGGGCCCAGTTGCAGGAATGGCCCAGTGTCTGACCACTAGGACAGGAAAGATGGGATGAAGCTAGCTGAAGGAGTCAGCTAAGGCTCACCACTGGCTCACTCATGCTGTTGCTTCCTTTGTTTATTTTTATTCTTTCCGTTCCTTCAGTAAACATTTATTGAGCAACTGTTTTGTGCCTGTGTGGATTAGATAGGTCCCTGGTTCCAGGAGCCTATAGGCTGGGGAGGGAAAGATAGCCAAACTTCCACAAAGTGGAGTGGCCTCCTAGAGGGTCTGAAGTGCCTCCATGTAAGGTGGAAGGGGCTGAGCTATGAACAAAGTGATAACCTGTCCGTGATTGCGGTGTGAAAGGCCACCTTACTGTCCTCCTATGGTGACTACCTACAGAGGGCTCGCCTGGAATGTTGGAGGACCTTTGGCCCACCTTAGTTTTCCTGTGCTGTGTGACCAAGGGCAAATTCTTGCACCTCTCTGAATCTTGGTCAATTTTCCTAGCCTGACTGATAATGGATGGACTTCTTCAGGCAGCTGAGCAAGCTGAACAAAGGCCAGTACAAGCCTTGGCACAGGGATGCTCAATAAATGTCAGTTGTTCATTCATTTGCTCACTCACTCATTCACTCACTCATTCATTCATTCCTTGAGTCAGGTGCATCTCCATAAGCCCTCCTTGGGCAGTGGGTCCTAGTAAATACTTGTTTTGCCAAGAGACTTTGACCTCCCAGGCAGATCTCTGTGAGTTCCAGGCTAAGCTGGTCTCCAGAGCAAGTGTCAAGAGAGGTTCCAAAGCTACACAGAGAAAGCCTATCTCGGAAAAAAAAAAAAAACAAAAAAAAAAAACAAAAAAACAAAACAAAACAAAAAAACTTTGATTTCCTCACTGCCTCCTTTGGGCCCCCAGAGCTTGGGCAGTACCCACCTGAGGGGGCTGAGGATGCAGTGAACAGAAGCAGACCTGGAGCACTGCCTCTGCCTTGCTGTAGCTGAATGCAGAGAGTGAGCCAGCAGGCATTCGAGGCATGCAAGTACAGACAGCCTGCTTCCTGACGTGCAGGTCCCAGAGTGCTGAACAGAGTCCCTTAGGCTCCTTTTCATGACTCTGCTGTGCCAGGTTCTTCTCTTTTCCTGTATGTGGCCTTTTACACTGGCACTCTGCTGTGCCAGGTTCTTCTCTTTTCCTGTATGTGGCCTTTTACACTGGCTGGCCACAGTAGGCATTGACTCAAGGGTAGGAGACTAGCCACAGACAGAGTCTCCAGTGCCTCTAGCTCAGTGGTTCTCAACCTTCCTAATGCTTCGACCCTTTAATACAGTTTCTCAAGTTGTGAACCCAACCATAAGATTATTTCATTGCTACTTCATAACTGTAATTTTGCTACTGTTAAAAATCGTAATGTAATAACTGACACGTGACTCCAAAGGAGTGGCAATCCACAGGTTGAGAGTCCTCTTCCTTTGAAGGGTCTATGGAAGTCATTGCTCTAGTCCCCTGCCTCTGTGCAAGCCAGAGAGTACAGGGAGAGCCTGGCCTCCATACCTCTCAAGTCATCCTGTTTGTTTCCTGCCCTCTACCCACAGCCCCAGAGAGCCCTGACTCCTCAGTCTGTCACAGGCCAGTGTTTGGGGCTGAGTTTCAGCACTCTTTGCCGTGGGTCCCCCTCCTCTATGCCTTCATTTTCTGAGCCATGACCCAGCACTGTGGTCCGGAAAGGTTCAGGGGAGGCTTTCTCTCCGAATTGCAGAGCCAATTTGATGTGCTCTTTAGGTCCCTGTGGTCAGCATCCTGTCCTCTCTCTGCATGGGGCCACAGTCAGACCTTTCCCAGACTCCATGCTAGACAAACAGAACCCAGTATCAAACAGTCAAGGCTCTGATGAGTCCTGTGACTCTGAAATGTGTGTTACTGTTTGTTTCTTTCCCCAAACTTGTCTAGCTGTGTGTTTCAGCTAGAATTAGCTTTAGTGACAAGTGATCTCAATTCCAAATAATAATGATTTAAGCAGGGCAGTGGTGGCACATGCCTTTAATCCCAGCACTCGGGAGACAGAGGCAGGTGAATCTCTGTGAGTTCAAGGCCAGCCTGATCTACAAGAGTGAGTTTCAGGACAGCTTCCAAAGCTACAGAGAAACCCTGTCTCAAAAAAAAAAAAAAAAAAAAAAAAAAAAAAAACTAACAAAAAAGATTTAAACAAATTCCAAATCTAGAGAGATTGTGCTGGGTTTCAGATGTCTGTTCAGTGATTAGATACCTCTCTCTCCCTCTCTCCCCCTCATTTTTGTTTTTTGAGACAGGGTTTCTCTGTGTAGCCCTGGCTGTCCTTGAACTCTCTCTGTAGATCAGGCCGGCCTTGAACTCACAGAGAGATCCACCTGCCTCTGCCTCCTAAGTATTGGCATTAAAGGCTTGTGACACCACCACCGGGCACATCCTTATCTCTTATCCATCACCCATCCCAGTGCTTGTTTTAGCACCCAGAGCTCCAGCTATCACATCTGCTTTCCAGGCATTAGATCTGAGAGTGGGACAAAGAACATAACTGTGCCTCATTGGCTGGAAGTTAACCACATGACTGTACCTAGCTACAAGAGATACAAAAAGATGGCTCTTAGGAGATTCGAAGAGTTCTGGTTCTTTTTTTTTTTTTTTTTTTTTCAAGACAGGGTTTCTTTGTGTAGCTTTGGAGCCTGTCCTGGCCCTCACTCTGTAGACCAGACTGGCTTCAAACTCACAGAGATCTGCCTGCCTCTGTCTCCCGAGTGCTGGGATTAAAGGTGTGCGCC